GATTGACTCTTGCGTAGAACTCAATCAAAAACTCATGATTTTTATTGAATCTTAGCTATTGGCTTGTTTATCATTTTGTGAAGAAAAATATTTGTGAATCGTTTTCCGTTGAATGAAAGGAATTAAAAATGATACTCTTTCAATTATTGATGAGTATGATTCACTATATTGGTAATCATATTATATTACCATAAAACATAAAAGTTAGCTGTAACATCATATGAATATCGTACGACTTACAAATAGAACATAATAGTAGAATCAAAGCAACTTTCTATTCAAATTTTATAACAATTTGTTAAGAAATTGTTTTATTCTGCGATAGGACATAAAGTGTTCTTCTAATATACACTCTCGCTTAATTACTAACGTTAAAGATAATTGCTAAAAAGAAGAGAAACAATACATGCTTAGTATTTTAAAAAATATACTTTATTGATGTTGATTCAGCGAAAGACGAAGACGCAACAAATAAACTATTTTGAATTCATTCGAAATAAATAGAAGTGTCAAGCTTGAAACTTGAATTCAACTGAGTCTTCAAGTTTCAAGTTTGATATAGTATATGGAATAATGAGAACATAAAGAATTCTCTCATTCATTAATAAAATATTGAAACTCAATATTTTTTTTCCATTGTAAAGCTGAATTTTCATCTAATTATTTAAGAAAGACTATACACACACTGAACTATACTTTATTCTTGTTTTGTAATTTTTATTGCAAGAAATGCAGAATACAACAGAAAATTGATTATGTTTCTTTTTTGTGATCATTTTGCAAATGACGAAACTAATTGAATTAAATAGAATCTATTGATTTATACAAGATCACATAAATATTCTCTGTTAGTGTGACTACATAATTGCACATTGACCGTAATGAGCGAGAAATCGTAATGTTTCTTTTTCTACATTCCTTGATGTCACTCAAACAAAAAAAAAGTAACTTTAATAACATAATTTTAATGATTGAAATATTTTAAAATGAAGAAAAACGATATTTATATGAATATGGACAGATAGAAAAGCTTTTCTTTTAAACTTAACATTGTTGATAACTTCATTGAACGAGGACAACATTAGCAGAAAAAGTCTATTCACTATCTTAAAAACAGGACAACATTCAATATTATAGTGCAAACTGTTTTGACATCAGAATCCATGGGGAAAATCGCTAGAAAAATAACATTTTTATTGGTAGAATTAATCTATAAATTCGAATTCAATCATCTCATTCTGATGAAATATGATCTCTAAAATTCAGATTGCATTTGATTTTATTAGCTTCTCAATCATCTTTGTTTGTCTGGAACTACTAGTACATCCTATCTCAATGAAATTTTCTGCTGCAATTCTTAGAATTATGGAAAATATTTTAGTCTTTTCTGGAAATTTTTACAAATACAGTAACCCGATATTTTAACATTGATTAGTCCCGACCTATGTAAAATTAAATGTTTAGCTTTTTGTTTGTTAGAAAATGAATTTTGACTATCTATATATCAGAGAAGCTTGGGTTTTTTTTTCATAGTATATCATGAAATCTTGCTATATTCTCTCGAGAGTGTGGATGTGGGTGAGGATGTCTTCTCCGACACTCACATCCACACCCGCGCAAAATTTCAAAGATAAGTCCCTACTTAATCGTCTAACTGCGACTATCAAAAATCCCGAAAGAATGACCAAAATGTTTTAAATAAAAATTTCAGTAAAGTTTCAACTACTCCACGAAATTCTCTGTAAAATTCTGCATATTTGGATGGATGTTTTAGATTTTTAAAAGGAATATTTGACAGAAACAGTTTTTAGAGAAAAAAATGGAAAATTACTAAAAAAAAGTCCTTTTTTGTAAACCACGCATCGTTTAATTTAAAACTTATACCATTTTGTTCAGAATTTAATTTTAAATCTGATGGCAAAATAATAAATATCTTATAGAGCGTGTCTGACTTTTGAAAATATGGTTTTTCCAAGGTACACTGAAAAATATTGACAAGTATTAGTTCCTATTTATGTTCAATAATTTATACTTTAATCATTGCCCTTCATGAGCAAAAGCTTGCACAAATTAATAATTTTGCGTCAACAAGAAAAACTTTCTTTGAAAAATAAAATCAATAATTTTGTAGAGCTTGAAATTCTCTATCTATTCATAGATAAAGAAATTTTCTATTTGTCCCAGAAATAGAAAAAAAATGCATTAACATCTTATCCAATTTATCATGCCCAACCTGTTAGTGAGTGAATATTTTTTTTGCCTATAAACAGTTCATCTTAGCAGAGGTTAAGCAAAGAGCAACATATGTTAAACAATGATTAATAATGGTTATAGCAGTTAATCAAACATTTATTCGTTTATTTTCATAAAATATACCGTGTCGGTATTTATTTAAAAACAAACTATAGTTGGAATAAGAGTGATAGTAGCAATGTTTGTATAATCTTGTTCTTGTTTTTATACATATGTAGCGTACATCTCTATAAAAATGATTTTTCTTTTACAGAATATTCAAATATTCTCTATTTCTTGTTTTGAAATTTGATATGAGTCAAAATTAATTTAGAAAATTCAATTTCTATTAATAGCTCATTTGAAATCGAGATAAACCAATAAGGACATAGTGTTTTTACCAACGAGTGGAATGATCTTAGAATGTAGTGAATCAAATGAAGAAAATTCAATACTATTATTATCGTCAACTTTATTGTAGTACCATTCTTTATCTCTTCCATTATTTTGAGCAACTCAGAAAACTGCAGCAATACGATTGACAAAGATGTTGAGCTCTTCGTTTCGTTAATGAAAAGAAAATAGTCAAAGAAAGATATAATTAAGACATTTTTTTTATTTATACTGATACTATTCGCAATGCATGATATTATTTGATGTTCTCTTAGTTAATTTGTAAGAAAATAACTAGCGATTCCTTTAAATTTGATGTTCTATCAAGTTTTTCCTATTTGAATTGTACCAATAGTAGAATAATTAATGTATCATTTACGCATAAATGACCTACATACAAGATTGATAAGTGTCTTACAGAAGGTCTTATGAAATAAGATAAAATGTATATATCCTCCTGGACAAAAATAGTTTTACACAGTATTTCCCACAAATCATTACTATAAATTAACATTTTGGGAAAAGTAAGGATGTATTCGGATAGCCCGAAGAATTCTCTACAAATCTATATATAAACATTTCGGATTGCACTTATCAGTAAAAAATAAATTCACGTACAATAAAGGCACCCTCATGTTCAGATTTCCCGGAAATGCATTTTATGTTCCTTTAAATATACAACAAGTTATTACAAAAGTAAGTATATATTCTGAAAGCGCGTGAAATTCTGTATCACCCTATACTGTACCCGTCTTGACTTGCAATTGTCTAATGACAAATATTTGGAGTATTATTAATGTACCCTCACCCTCGATACTCCGCATGAACGATTATCTGCTAACCAAGTAAGAGGTATGGATAATTAACAACCTATCAAATTGGATCTTAATGCTGTTGAGAGTGTCTGGTCTTGAATAAACCACTTTGCACAGAGATGACGACTGAATTCCTGACAACATCTAACCTAGGTACGTGATGCGTGAGTACATTAACAATAGTTGAAATATTTGTCATCAAATATTTGCAAGTTAAGATTGGTAAAAGTACAGGGTGATACAGAATTTCACGCGCTTTCAGAATATATACTTACTTTTGTAACAACTTGTTCCTATATTCAAAATATATTTGAAAAAATGAACGAACAAGGAACAAAAAATGCATTTCCAGGGAATCTGGAGATGAGGGTGCCTTCACTGTGCTTGAACTCATTTTTAGCGAATAAATGCAATTCAAAATGTTTATATATAGAATTGTAGAGAACTCCACGGGCTATCCGAATATATCCTTACTTTTCCAAAAATGTTAATTTATAGTAATGATTTGTGGGAAATACTGTGTAAAACTATTTTTGTCCAGGGGGATATATATATAAACGTGAATATAAACTAATCTTTTTGAACTCAAAAATAAATTGTCATGAAACGATAACAGAGAACAAAGTGAATATTGTGCGCTTTAGATCTAACAAAAAAATGTTTTTAATCATACACATTATCTTAATAAGTTAAAATACAAAGAGAGCTCATTAGCATAGACTCAATTACTATTTGTACGATTAAAAAATTCAAAACATTCTTAAAGATCAAGATTTTAACTATCCATGTGAATTTAGGAATATCTATATAATTTTTAATCATTACACCCAACATCCTTTGATACGTTTATTAATTAGTGATTTTAAAATTAGGATAAATTGAAATCTACTTCCCTGGTTGGTGTGTATTTACTGAATGTGGCTAAAAAACAAATGACGACCACTAAACCAATCCATCACACCAGACCACACATCATTAACCTTTTTTTCCTCATACTTTTGAAAAAAACCGTTTTTTGCTGATTTTTTTATTGTCTTTTTTTCTCCTTGAGACGAAATTTATTCAAGAAAAAAATGAAAAAACAACATTAAAAAAACACATAAAAATAATAAATTTAAAGGATTTTCCTAAATAATGAATTTTTTAAATTTCAAATATCTAACTCTGTCAAATTCATTTCGTTTCAGTTAAACTTTAATTAAAGAATAAATATAAAATATTTTTTCGTAAATTTCTTTCGAAAACGAAATAAAAGTAAGAATTATTTCATTTTCATTTTAATTTTTTTAATTTTAATTTTTTCAATTTTAATTTTTTTAATTTTAATTTTTTGAAAACTATAACAACTACAAAAAGTGGAGATCTTTATTTGTTCTAAATGAAATTGAAATTATTTCAATAGATTTCTTTTTGTTCGATTTAAAAATAAATCAAATAATTCGATTTTTTTTACTTTCGTTTTAATTTAAATGAAATGTAATGTAATTTTATTGTAAATTAATAAAATTAAACAAATCAGAATAATTAGATTTCAAAATATGTACGAAAAAAAATTTTATAGAAATTTTCAATATTTAAGAAAAAAAAATCACAAAAGCCCTCCTTATTATAATACAAGTTTACTTTTTTTTGAACATTCTATATCACAAGATAATGAGCTACAGACTCAAAATAAGTTTCACTAGGACATAGAAATCTCCTTAGAGGGTGTGGGTGTAGGTGAGGGTGAAGAGGATACCAACACTCATTCACACTCCACTCTTTTCTAAAACTCCACATCAATTTTAACTGCAATGTGTTCCGCTCGAACTCCATACCACTCTATTCCTTTTTTCTAAAATCCTACTCTAACTCCCATTTAACTTCAATTCCAGTCGGGTTTTACAAAACTGAACTTCTACCAAAACACTCTTAAATACACATAAGTTTTTGAACATAATTAATTCTACGATTGATATAAATTAGTAGCATATTAATTTATTGCTTTATAAACTTTCTCATAAAATTCAAAGATAAGCACCTCCATTTCTGTCCTGTTCCCACTCCATTTTCACTCTGATGAGGAAAAGCATCAACTTTAGAGTTGCAATTGCCCATCTCTGATATCAACCATTTCAAAATACTCACTCTTCAGATCCTCCTAAACATATCCATAACATGCGAGCTTACAGAAGACTTCTAAGAACAAGTACTACATAAGGATTATAGCATGATCCTCATAGAAGATACTCATTATTTTTAGATTTTCAGATTTTGACAGAGTATCTTATTTAGTCATCAAGATTCTCTTTGAGGACCCTAATACAATGGTTTGAAGATGGTGTTCATCAAAAGTTAAAAATAGCATTTTAGAACACTTTCTTTTCAAAGCCCATAAAATCCATAGATCCCAATGTTTTTCACTGGAGAGCTCCGTTCGGATTGACATCCATCTTTTCAGCATTTGCAAAAGTAGAAGCCCTCTCAGATTACATAGATTCGCGTGGAATCCTCTCAACTTTGTTCAGTTTCGCCTATATTCAAGCCTTCTCATGATCTTACTCAGAGTACATCACGGTTGTTCTTCGAACAGCTTGACATAACTTACCAAAAGCCTATGCAAATACTTAGGAGATTCTTCGCCAGATCTACATTCATCATACAGAAAATCATGTATCCTTAAGGTTTCCTAAAAAACATTGGGATTAGGTTTGATATTTTGTTATTCAACGATTCGATATTCTTCTCACAAGATATAGATAGCATCTTCTCTGATGTTCATATAAATGATCATTCTGCCAAAAAGATTCTGAATTCTTGCAATTCTGAAAAAAATCCTCAGATCCTTATGTTTTTCTATCAGAACCTTACATGGAATTAGTATTACTCTTTCTTGGAGAACCTTCTTACAACAATCTCAAGGTGTTATTTTTATGATCAAAAAGGTCTTGGCAAGAACTAGAAGTAACATAGATCTAAGAATCGTTACCAAATCCTTTTTTCTCATAGGAAATTAGGAAAAGACTTCTGAATTTTTATCTGTGGAATGAGCATTCTCAAAGATGAATGTCGTATTTGTAGCGCTTGCTCCCACGAGAGACGAGATCCCTTCGATAACGACGATTTCTTTTCTTTTTTGCTCATTATAGTAATTCTCAATATTCCAGTTGATGCCCGATGGAAACAGAATGGAGTGACTGTTGCTGGAGGTCATGGAGAAGGCAGTGCCACCAATCAACTCTACGGGCCTTGTGGTCTCTTCGTTGATGATGATCAAACGATGGCCATTGCTGATTGGGGCAATCATCGTATCATCCAATGGAAGATGGGTGATACGAATGGACAAGTAGTAGCTGGTGGCAATGGCCAAGGAAATCGATTGGATCAATTGTATCAACCAACCGATGTGTTGATCGACAAAGAGACGGGTAGTCTCATTATTTGTGATCGAGAGAATCGACGAGTCGTACGATGGTCTCGTCATAGTGGTACAACTCAAGGAGAAATCCTCATCAACAACATCGATTGTGCAGGATTGGCCATGGATGATCAGAGATATCTCTACATCTCTGACACCGACAAACATGAAGTAAGACGATATCAAATAGGAGACAAGAATGGAACTCTTGTAGCTGGTGGCAATGGCAAAGGTATTGATCTCAATCAACTCAACGTTCCGACCTATATCTTTGTCGGCCAACAACAGACTGTCTACGTGTTAAACAACTGGAATCATCGTGTAATGAAATGGAATAAAGGTGCAAAAGAAGGAATTGTCGTCGCTGGAGGTCAAGGCGAAGGGAACGCTCTGACACAGTTGTATCATCCTAATGGACTGTTCGTCGATACATTGGGTACCATCTATGTGGCAGACTCGTTCAATCATCGAGTGATGCGTTGGCCTAAAGGAGCGAAACAGGGCACTGTTATTGTGGGTGGAAATAGTAAAGGAGCAGGAGCAAATCAGTTCCAGTATCTCCGTGGTTTGTCCTTCGATCGACATGGCAATCTCTATGTTGCCGATAGGTTGAATAATCGTGTTCAACGCTTTTCAATCGAATAGACTCGTCGTGATAGATTTTTTTTTGCGTTCCTTTCCTTTCAAATAAATCACATTGAATTGATGAAATGAATATCTATTCTATCCGCGCGCGCGATCAGGAACCATCCTGGTGGAGCCGTGGCGAGCGTAACGCTCATGCACGCGCAGGACAGACTCATATCATTCATACCCCTCCCACTCGAGAGATATGTCAATGAGTCTGAATAAGCCTGGTCGTGTGCCACGGACACCAAGACAGTTCCTGGCCGGGCTTTTAGGGACTGCCCGGAAGTCCTTCATAAAAGACGAAACCCTAACCCTCAACGAACAGAACTCATCCTCGTCTCTCACTAACACTCACTTTTCTTAGTCTCACCGTAACCTCTCAATCTCACTACCTATTCTCATCTGAAAAAAAAAAGAAAATTACTTACCGTGTCTGATGTTGATGACGCGATGATATTGATAGCTGAAAGGAACAGAAAAAAAATTTAATCAATGTTATTTAATGAAATAGAATGAGATGACTTACCCTAATGTTATCCTTTTCTTCATTGTTTATTCCCTAAAATAAAAAAAATAATAAAAAGATCAAAGGAGACCTTACCTCACCATCCTTATGATCGTAAAATAAAAAAAAATAAAGAAAAAGTAAAACTGATACCTACATTTTATTTTATTGTCTGGTTTGTTGTTGAATTGTTTGGTTGAAGCCAATCTAAAACAGAAGAGAAAAATTATTATTATTTGATTCAAAAATTTGAATGATTTTACATATAAAACCATTCGTATATATACCTTGAAAAATCATTTTTTTCTCTCGTCGAAAATGATATACATATTTAATTGTACATGTTGATCATTGATCGTCAATGATTACAACATGAACAATGATTTATGGACGAGAGAAAGACAAAAAAAAGAAAAAGAAAATTCCTCTCTTCACATATATTTCTTTTTTCTTTCCTTTCTCTCTTGTTAACATTAACATATATAATGATTTATTTATGAATTTTTTTAGATTGTATCTCATTTGGAATGAAAATGGAATTGTTTTGTTTATTTTTATTAATGATACTCAATAACAACATTTATGTATAATTATTTTATTTGCTATGATAAAATACAAAATATATTACATCAGACAAACTATTACTTAAGTAGACATACTTAATGTTACAAACTGTTGATTCAATTCCATAGACTGTCGGAAAAAACAAAACAATGGAAGTTTTTAAACACTTAAATTTTTACAATAATATTCTTTTTGGATGAACGTATCTAAATATCAACAAAATTTTAGATCAAAATAATCCATTACAGAAGTTTGAAAAAATCTTTCTTTGTTAGGTGGATTTATTACAACAGAAAAGAATGAAACAAGATATATTCTTGTTTTGAATAAAAATTTATTTATATCGACATATCTATTCTATACTCATCAAGATCAACAATTTGTTATTCATGTACCAGTATGTATTAATCAATAAAGAAAAAAGATTAAAAAATGTATATATAATAATGTTTTTACTAATTTGGAGAATTTTATGTTTAATGAATAATGTTGATAAATCCATGTGTACAATTAATTTAACTAATAATTAAACAACAACATCGTCAGATTTCTTCATTATTATTATTTTCACCATCAACATATGATTAATACTATACCAAATTCGGAGACATTTTAATATTAATAAAAATGAGTATGTATTTGATGACAATATTGTTATAAAGAGCAAAATATTAACATATATAATTAGTATTTAATTGGAACGGAATATAAGAGAAATCGAATGAGAATTAATATTAATTTTACAAAATTATTCAAGTAAGATAATTATTCAATGAAATATATTTTACTAGTTACAAAAAAAAGTTATAGCGTCTGTTGAGTTACTTGTGAAAATATTCTGTTGTTAATAGACTTGACCAATGTTATTGTCGCAAAAACTATACTTGCAAAAAAAATAAATATATATATATATTATAAAATGATCTAATCTCACAGGTTCGATATTTTTTCTAAGGCTTTACTGGTCATATACTTAAGAAAAAAATCTATGTATACTTTTTCTACAAGCATTATTTGATTGTTCGATACGATAGCAAAGTCTGAATACAAACTCGCTTCTCAGCAATTAAACAATAGTTTTCAAAAAGAAAGCATAAATCTTTTTCTGCTTGTTTATCAGTCGAATAAAATCATTAGAAAAAAATTATCGAGTGTAACGAGATTTGATACCTTTGACGTATTTCAATTTTCATAGGCTATTATGGAATTCTTCTCGTACTAAACCAGGATTTCCAGATCGAAATGTTTTAACCAAAATTCGAAAAAATTCGGAATTTTTTTATATTCTACTTCAGAAAAAGTTCGGAAACTAGTTGTTTTACTATCAAATATATATACCACCTTTTTTATGGACATATATGTTGCTCTATCAACATTTTGTGCAAAAATTATTGCCGACATACTTATTTCTTTCTTCAATCTCACTTAAATTCACATCTGAATCATCATCTTCATCATTCATGGCTAAATTTAATTCAGGATAACAAAAGACAATTTTCATGTAAAAAAACACTTTTCTAAACTTAAAGTTCAGTCCATGTCAAAGAAGTTATTGATTCAAATGACATTTTTTTTAAACAATACAACATATTCATTTAGTTCGGATAGATTTTAAATTCAGACGATCTTACATTATAAACAGTCTCAAAATTGTATTATGAAATGATTACAGTAGAACAACGACAGCGCATGAATTGCTAATGAAAGTTAAATTAGAAGTTATAACCAAAGTCATTAAATCTCGAATCTAGAGAAATAACAGGTCTCGAAAAAATATTCAAAATTCGAAAGAGCTTGGAAAAAGTATCAAAATTCGGAAGATCTGGCAGTCCTCTACTGAACTAATCATTCATATTGTATTCTTGTGATCCGATCGAAGTCGGACACTTATTGGATTTTAATTGCAACAATGATGGACTAGTTGAATTTTCTTGTATTACATTAGCTCATCTATGCAGATCGTTACTTTCATTTTCGAATGAACTATTTTTCTGTAATCAATTCCAATATTATTTTTCATATAACTTTTATTTTGTTTTCTTAAGGTAATTTTATGTCATTGAATAGATAATGTAAAAAATAAAAATTATTTCGAATAGATTCGTGAACATAACATTGAATTAGGTGAACAATATTGAGCTGTATTTTATGATACGACTTATTCAACGTTTACTTAAATATATATCAATAAAACATATTGATTATCAATTATTAATTGATTCATTTGGGTAAATTACGTGAAATAGCAAATAAAAATTAAATGAACAAAGTAGAAAAACGGAAAAACATTTATCAATGTTTAATATTGTTCATATTATTGATAATTGTCGTTAAATTTTAGTCAGAGTTTCTTGCTGCACATCATGATTATATAGAAAAATTTCAAGTTATTGAACTTCATCAAGAATTACCAACAATATAACTACATTTAACTCGTTTTCTTTTCTCCGATTGTCTTGAATATATGCGAAAAGCATTCGGTATGAAAATATATTTCACATATTCAATTGGGGAATATTCAAAGTTTATTTGATATTAATCCATCATCATTAGCAAGTGATGATAAAAATTTTGACTGCTTTTGTTTTTTGTGGAACTCACATTACGTCTTTCTTTTCGAAGAAAAATAGGCTAAGTGTAAGTTTTAGAGACGCGCGACACAAAAATTTAGACGTTTGCTGAATTCTTACTCATCATATTTTCATTAGAATTTATTTCACATTCCTCATGGCATTCTGATTGTGATCATTTATGAATGCAGTCATTATAGACTTTTACTTTAAAAGTAGTAACTATGAGAGATCAGACCCATACTCAACGCGCTCTGTCGAGAACTATGAGAAAAGCAGTTATCTCAACTGCCACTAAAGGTTATATAGTTAAGTATTGTATGACTTTAAGTGTATGAATAAAAAGAAAACGAATATTGAAGAAGTTTTTAGATGTGATACGATTCAATAGTGGAGTAGTTTTCTCTAGACAAAAACCCATACCCACACCCTTTACAGGAAATGGTGAAAGAAACTCATCCGAAAAAAGTAAAGAAAGTCAAAGATGAAAAAAATATGAAAATCATATTAACTTCAAAAAACAAAAATGGATAAAATTTGATTTCTCATGTATTCATTTATAATTCGGTAGAAATTTTTCAGTTCAAGTATTTGGGAGGAGTATAATGAGACTAAAGAACACATGTGAATTCCACATTATAGTCCTCAACGAGCTGCACTGACACAATCTCTATTTTTATTTAAATAGAATTTTTCTAATTCAAGAAATTGAACAATTTGGAATACTTTGTTCAATTGATGCTCATACACATATCTTCATTATCATCGATTTCAACATTATCGAATAGTACTCATCATCATGGAAATAAGAAAATCTCTGTACTTTATCAGTTAGCTAAAGCGATTCTCATAGTGTACAATTTTTATTTTAGTCTTCACTTATCCAAACATTACTTGAAAATTCAGATATTGACTCAGATTGACGTTCAACTAGCCGTCTAAATTTATTAGATTTAGCATTTAAATGTTTTGAAAATTTTCCTTTTTTTTAAATTAATTAACATTGAATAAATATGTCTATATTTGACTAAATTTTAGTGGTCTTCATAAAGCAAAGAAACGAGTAAGTGGAGCTTTTTTATTCAATCCAGAACCTAATAAACATTAAACAAAAAAAAACATTAATTGTCCAATTCATTTAGTAGAAGATCATTGGTCGAATAGTTTCGATTTAAGTAAACAAATGAGTTTATTATGAAGACAAGTATTTCAAATGAGAATTTCTGATAATTAAACTAATACATTCAGAAAATTCCGACTGATTGAACAAATGAAAGAAATCGGATATGCGTGTGCTCATAAAGATTAGTGCTTCAATAGAAGGGTGTAGGTGTGGGTGTGGGTGGAGGTGTGGATGTGGGTGTGGGGTGAGTGTGGGCTTGTGTGATTTTCTTTTCTTAGTCCACACCCACACCCACTGCCACCCCACACCCACCCCACCCTACAAATTTGATGACATTCGTAGGGATCAACGTGATAAGTATGAAAAATTAATTAGTGATGTTGAACGCATTGATCCAAAATGTCAAATTTGTCATAGTATACTATCAATTAGAAAATCCGAACATTTATTTCATGTCAATTGGAAAGATTTTAAGAATGAAAGAAAATTGTCAATTTACATGTGATTAGAATTTCTTTACCAAGTTATGATTGATTTTTTTGTCAGACTTCTCGAAATCGATCAGTCTATGGTCAATTGATCCTAGTCTTCAATAATTTATCCAAAACTACATAGTATAGAGGAGAATGACGTCTAGATTCGAACCTTCTAGCTCTCACATACATGTTGACATTCATAGTCACTCATCCATGATGACTACTCTAGACATGAGCAGTACCATGTCTAGACTCCTCCTGTAGAGATAACCCATCTCACTTTACTGCATTTCCATTTAATAAATATTTGAATTTTCAAACTCAACGAGGAAAAAAACAACATTCTATTCATTCTTACTTGGATGTCATAATAATCTGTAGTTTTAATGACAGGACCACATGGTATGGTTTCTTTAGATCTATTTTGTTAGACTTAATAGATTTTCATCAGAAAAATCACAACTAGCTGCAAATTCTAGATGTTCGAAACTAATACTTTGAACAATTGTTTTCGGACGGTGCCAAAATTATAAATACTAAAAATTGTTCAGTATTATATTTCGATCATTCTAGATAAAATAATAATAAATTTCAAAAATAAAAACCTATTTGAACTATTTTAAACATGAATTCGATTAATCTTTTTGCGTAGTCGCTCTAATTTATCAATCATATTTTGATTACTTCAATTAAAATCTTCTTTGTTTAACATTGATTGTAAGCCAGTTAATTTAGTAAATTCACAAAGTTCTTTTATAAGTAAATGATACTTGCATTAGTCCACGCTGACTAACAAGTATCACATGTCGTATTCAACTTTGACGAAGTGTATCAAGTACTACAACATCAGTAACATGTGTTTTAGCTAAATCATCAATAGATGAAAACATGCATTTTGAGTACAATCAAGTTGTGATTGAAGTTGAATATTTTCTGATACATCTATTTGAAATTGTTTTCTTTTTTTTATAATGACTGAAAAATTATTTTGTTTTGTTTCCATTTTGCCATTGTATTATTCACGAAAAATCTTTAGTAGAAAAAACGTTTTCTGATGTTATCATATCAGCAATATTTAAATTACGTTCAACGGATGAACTATAAGTAAATATTATAATAAAATTCTTGTAGTTCTTTCACATTATCATATCGAACAAGATAATAAAATGAAGGTAATTTTTCAATAATATCAATTGTTGTCGGTATTGTGTGCCGAAGTTTAACTAAATTTTGTGTTAAATAAAAA